GCAATGAAAATACAAGTATAATAAAATACAGCATCACATCCTAATATCCATGATTTAAAAGAGTTTAAACAACTGAAACCATTTCACTAAAAACTAAATCAGCGGACATGATCCATCATATGCCATCAAATGCCTGGGAATAGGGGGCAGTCTTAACCTGGCACCCAAAAGAGGGCGATGACGGCACCAGGAAGGCCTCACTGGGGAGATCATTCCATAATTGGGTGTCACCCCAGCAAGGCCCTCCCCCTTGTTGCTCCTCCAACACGCTGCGTACCCCAAGATATAAGCTGCCCCGTTGTAAAAGAAACCGGCCAAATGACCGCAGTTTGAGTTCCACGGATGACGATGAACCTGAATCCAAGGATGTGCAAGTCTTTCATCTTGTGTAGTTTAGATAAGGCTGAAGATTAACTTTGTGCACATAGAAAAGAAAAGAAAAGAAAAGAAAAGAAAAGAAAAGAAAAGAAAAGAAAAGGGGGAACGAGGAGCTTTCCTCTGGGCTCTTGCTCTTTCTCTCTCAATGATTACCGCCTCCTCTGTGCCAGTCACTCAGAGAAGGAGGAGAGGTGATGCGTGGGAAGGAGAATGAGCACATGAGGAGATTGCATGGGTAGGAGAGGAGGCGCAGCAAAATCTCTCCTCTGCTGAATGGGAAGGAAAACGGGCCTCGTGCAGGGACTGGTGCTTTGCGGCCCAAACCCAGATCGCAGAAGCCGTCTCTGCAAGCATTCAGGGCGACCTGCCCTCACCCAGCAGCCTCCTGGGTGAGGAGAGGAGAGGAGAGAGAGAAGTGGGTGCCCGGACCCGCCGCTGGCAGATTATTCCTGAAGGAATGCCATCCTCAGGGGGGAAAGTTTCCTTTCCCCTGCTCTGACGGGAAGTGTGTTGGAGACATGTCTTGAGCATGTCACCAGAACCCTGAGATGGTTCTAACGACCTAGAGATTTTGCGGGGATTGCTGAGAAAAGCATCCGGTAGTTTCAACATAGAGGAAGTTATAAGGAAGACAATAAACATTTCGCTTCTCTAAGGAATCCATTATTAAAAGTAGTTTTCCTTTTAAAAATCAAGTGCTCTGTGTCGAAAATTATGTGACACAGAGCCGGCTGCAAGGGAAGACACAACGGCAAAAGCTCAGATGTGATTTCCCAAATTCGTAAAAGAGCCGATGCATCGGAATGTGTGACTCTGTCCTAGACTGAGCCAGACTGTGAGTCTCATCTAGCCCAGTCCTGTTAAGTATCTTCTAACTGGCAGTAACTCTCCCAGATCTCTGAAAGTGGCTTTCCAGCTCTCCCAGGTCTCGGGAGGAGGTCTTCAGCTCTTCTAGCCAGAAAACCTCATGCCCATCCTATGAGCTGAAGATGCTGCTGGAAAATGAACCTCGGACCTTCTCCTGTTGAGCACTGACTTTGCCACTGAGCTACAGTCCCTCCTCTTTCAACAGCTCCTGCAAAGGGTTTAAAGCACAGAACTGCCAAAAAACACACGGTTTTCGAACTCGGCTGGGGTGCCAGGTTCTCTCTGAAGTGATCAACAGCACTTTCCACGGTGCAGCCCAAAGTCTCCCACCCCGTAACTCACTGGCCTTTCTCCCCTGCGATGTGGAAAGAATCCCGCACACTCGCTCTCTGTGGCTGCTCCTACTCGGCTCTTATTTTGTTGCTCTCCCTTTGGGGACGGGGCGCTTTCCAATGCACAGTCTGCTCCCGCAGGGAATTCCAGGGAGGAATTTAGGGAAGCACACCCAAGCCACACGGGGTCCTCCGGGTCACTCACGTAACCAGGAACGTGCCCTGGAACGCAACTGCATCGTGCAAAGCTACCTCACTGGGGAGAAACGGTTCTGACGGGCAGAGTGTGTTTCAGGGGAGCCAGTCCTCTGCTGGCGATCTCAGTGCAGAACATGTGGTGGTGCGCTTTAAGGAGCAGGGTTCCCCCCCCCCCAGACACAACAGCTGCAACCCAAAGGGTTAAGCAAGGGGAGAAGCAATTGGCAGCTCACGGGTTCGTGGTGCTGAAGATGAACATGGAGCTGTGGGGAACCATCGGTTTGCCGGTCTCGGACTTCTTCTCCTTTTTCCGTTTTTTCTTCTCTGCCTCTGCGCCCGCTTCCTCTTTCGCCTCCGCCTCCTTCAGAGGGCTGGACTCTCCATCTGTCTTGTTGCTAACTGCAAAGTGAACAAGTCCTGTGATTGCCCTGGCTGGAAAAGAGGCACACACAGAGGATGCTTTTGACCCTGAAGTCCAAGGAGAATGGAAGTCAACGGACTGGGTGTGCCACCTGGGTGACCCATCATGATTGGCAATTTATCCATGCCACATCCTCTCATATAAAGCAGCCCAAGGCAGGTCCCTGCTCTCACGGAGTTTACAAATAGCGGGGAAACAGGAGCTAGGAAGGAAGAATGAAGAGTGAAGTTTGACGAAAATGGGACTTCGGGAGATCCGAGGGCAACAACGGGAGAGCATCACAGGCATGGAAGACTGAGTTTGCTTTTTCCCAGGCACACCCCGAATTCCTGCTTGTGCAAAATGAGAGCAAACATTGCATGCTGAAGAGCTGCAAAACTTAGTTGTGGTACATGAATGGCACATATTCTAGGCTGAAAACAGCAGCAATATCCTGCATTCCCGCTGTCCAAATTAGGTGTCAAGAAAAATGAATCCTGCTGCCTGTAATTTAAACACTTTATCCTGCAATTGTATTATCTTGCATAAGATATTCTTGTACTTGCTATTCATAGGAAGAACAAGCAGTGTTACAACCCTTGAAATCTTATTCAGCTCTTATTCTGGCTCCCAGAGTTCAACAGGCACAGTCCACACACATCGGATGAACGGTGGTGCCCATCTCACCACTTGGCCAAGCAGTTGTCTCAACTCCTCTGCTGGGAAGTGAGCAGGATCTCGCTTTCCTGAATTTCTGATCAGAAGCAGAGGTGTGGAGTAAGGTGGAGGTGATACGGATGGGAGTCTGTCCAGCTAACAATCACAGACTTGCTCACAAGCTCAGCCCAGTCTTGGAAAGGGAGTTGAGAAGAAGCCCGCAGACACCTGTGCAATGAAGGTGTACGGCCCGCAACCTTCTGTGTCGGGAGCAGCAGGACAAAGAGCTGGTGCGTGTGGCCTGCTTGAGGGGCATGCGGGGTTCGATTTGGTGACCCGAGTGCGCCTGCCGGGAGGTCAGCCTCTGGCTAGGCAAGGGACAGGGGCCCAGAGAGACAAGCCAGGGAGTCCACTGGCCTCCTAGCCCCGAATGGCTTCCTCCACACCCCTAGTGTGGAGTTACCACCTGAGGTGGCACAACAATACAGACGGTGAGCTTAGGGAGTGCGCAGCACGGTAACGTAACACTTGGTAACTCACCGTCTGGATATATTCACCTAGGGGTAAGGTGAGGGTGGGGTGGAGGGCTGGGGGCCGCATGCAGCCCTCAGAGCCTTGTTCTGCAGCCCCCTTGCTGCTTGGAGCCCCCACGTTGTTCCCCAGTCCAGATCCCGACAATGGCACACGCATGATTGCAGGGAGCTCTCCCAAGACCACTGCCCCTCCCTGCTCTCTCCCTCAGGCTCACGAGAGCTTGCCCCACACTGCCCCAGCTGACAACAAGCCCTCCATCAGTAGGAGCGGGCGGGCCATGATGGGAAGCGTTCGTCCGCTCAAGTACAAGAGACTCAGTGCGTCAATTCCAAGAAGGAAGGAGGGGACAGAGAGTCACCCGGGAGGGTTTCTAGGCTGAAGAAACAGGGAAGAAATGGGTGGGCCACCCCAGAGGAAACACAGAAACATGGAAACAGAGCGAGTCAGAAGGAGCCTCCCGGTCCATCTAGTCTGACCCCCAGCTCCGGCCAGCTCCACTCACGACATGCCCACCATGTGCATGCCCAGCCTATCCTTGAACACCCGCACCGATGGGGCTGTGGCTGGGGAAGGAGCTGCCTGCAATCTCATTTAATTAGCCCTAAAATCTCCCTCGTTTAATGCAGAATGACACCTATTAATTGTGCGTATTAAATTAAATAAAGACATTGCAAGCACTTTAATTTACAATATGGAAATACCCTTCATTGTGCAGCCCCTGAGGCCTGTGCCGAAATTCTCATGCAGCCCTCGAGGTATGGAAAATTGGACCTCCCTGCCCTAGAAGCGAGGCTCTTTCCAAAAAATAGAAGTTGGGACGGTCAGGGAGACAGGCAGGGTGCCCGCTGGCACATTTGGCACTTTTGCTGCGCTCCGGGACGCACTCGGCCCTGCCTCAAATGCTCTTCCGCAGCTGCCGAGGTGTGAAGCCAGCACCTCTGAACTGGCAGGGTGGGAATGTCATTTCTACAGGAAAGGCGTGAGCAGTGATTGCTGTTTTACATTCTCACCTCCCGGTTGTGCAGTTTATTAGAAGGAGATGAAAAGGAAAAGGGGGAAGGAACAAGAGGCTGTCAAGCAGCGCAAATGACAAAAGTGGCTTTAACAAGGCACTTCTTGGCAGCGCCGTTTAATTAATACCCACATTGAAAGCCTTTTGCCTTGACGCTCGAGAACACCGCTCTTCTGAGTCTTTGCAAAATGAGTGATAGGAGAATGCAGCATGGCTGAAAGCGAGGGAGCAGCCCAACCAGACGGAGTATCCCCTGTCTCTGAAAACTCCCTGACCGAAATTATCTACTTGGGAAGTTGACTGATAAGTTCCCAAGTTATTTAGACGCTACTTTGGAGAGCAGACTCCACCTTTCTTGGAAGGTATTTGAATGAGAATGTTTCAGAAATGCTCTCTTTTCTCCCCTCCCTGAAAAACAGATAATTTTGCAGAATATTAAGAACATAAGCAAAACTGTACTGGATCAGACCCAGGGTCCATCTAGTCTACACTCCATACACATGATGGCAACCCAGCTGCCTACAGGTCAGCTAAAGCAGGGTGGGTGCAAGACCCCGGCTGCCCAGGATCCTCAGCAACTGCTGTTTGCATGCATGGAGAAGGCTAGCAGCTACAGACGGCCTCTTCTTCCGTGAATCTGTCCAAACCCTTTCTAAAGCCATCCAGACCGGTGGCCAACACTACTTCCATGGCAGCCAATTCCATTGTTCAACTATACATTGCGTAAAGGACTTCCTTTGATCTGTCCTAAACCTCCCACCAATCAGCGTCATGGATGACCCTGGGTTCAAGCGTTTTGGGAGAGGGAGAAAAATGTCTCCCTCTCCATATTCCCCACTCTGCGCATGGGTTTAAGCACATCTATACTGTCTCCCCTTAGTTGCTTTTCCCCCGCATTTGAGCAGTCAAGAAACCAAGCGGTGAAGAGATGCATGAAGCTGTGAGAGCTCCCAGCCCCCAGCTCGGTCCCAAAGGGACCCAGCGACATCGGGTGGCCTGCTCGGCCGGAGCGAGGGCCCCGTCCCCCATTGAGACGTGTGGGCAAACAGGAAGAGAGACGGATCCTCACTCTGTACCACAGTGGAGTCTTGGACGTCAATCATGATGGTGGTGCTCTCTGTGGCTTTGTCCACATTGGTTGAGATGGAGGAGAGATCAGGCTCGCTTCTGCTGATGGTCCTGCCTGTCTCCCTCGGCAGGTTGCCCAGCAGTGCTTGCTCGCTTGTGTCCAGGCTGCTGCCGTCCTGCTCCGGCGGGCTAGCAGCCACCTCTTTGTCCAGTCCGAGGTGGGCTTTGGTGGGGCTCGGTTCTTGGGTGGCTGCAACAAACCCAGTGCCATTTGCTGGGGCTTCATGGTCTCTATGCGGAGGAGAAAGAGAAGGTGACACGGAGAACAAGTGGCAGAAGGTTAAGCAGCTGCCCTTGCAGGCAGAAGCAAAGATTGGGGAGTGAGTAAAAATAAGCCTGGCTTAATTTTACACAGGCCTTTTAAACACCTTGGACAAAAACAATGTGAGTCATGACAGCAGACAATGCAGCTGCTGCTAAGGAGCGCCTTTGCCTTTTCCATGGTGGAATGCTCTGCCATCATCAGAGAGTCATCAGGCACCTACTTTACAGAGTTTTAGGCACCTGATGGCAACTTTTCTTTTTCAACACACCTGTGGCACTACGTAACTATCTATATCAATGGCACTGGTTTTAATTTCAATGCCATGCATTGATTTTATTAATTTACATGCTGCTGATTGTATATATTGTGTTTTACCTTTTTTATTTAGTATAATATTTGAACTATTATTTTAGTTATGGGATCATTGTTTTTACTGTAATGGCCACCCAGAGAGCATGATGCTAACGGGCAGCTTTTATACAAAGCAAACAAACAAACAAGTCTTGCTCAAGCAGACAACAAAGGAAAGGGAAGCTGTGGGTTCTCCCACATTGGAGGGATCCAAGAAGTCGTTGGACAGCCATCTGACAGGGATGCACTCAGGGGGGCTGGACCCAACGGCCTGGGAGGCCCCTTCCAACTCTAGCACCCCATCAGCCTGTGATTCCTTAACAGCCAGCTATGGCTACTGCCCCAGGAGGGGTGGTCCTGTGATGGCGACCCCCACTGCAGGAGGCTGGTGCAACCTGACACTGCGGTGCTTGGGACAGACTAAGAGCTTTGGCTGTCTGTTTAACTCTTGATATTTAGTGGTTGGTTCAGAGATTGACTTCCACCTACACGCTTCACTGCATAAATTTAGCTATGTTTTACAGTTTCTTCTAAAATGTTTTAGGGTGTTTTATAAATTGCACTATTCAAGCCTCCTTTCATAAATGCTTGAAAAGTACTTTATAAATCTCATTATTATATCATTGTAACATTTGCGTAAGATCTGCAGTTTGCCCAGCTTGCTCAGTTGCTTTGCATTCTAGGATCGCTCCTGAATGTCACCTTGCTCTTCAGATGCTATCAGTTGCTACGATATGATGATGGGCCCCCAACCCATATCAGTTTGCCAGAAAGACAATTTGGTCCTAGATCAAAGCCAGCTAGAACTTTCCCTGGGAACAAAAAGGATCCCAAGAAGGCAAAACTCACGGGAGAAGCCGGTCATGCTAGGAGAAGTCTAAGGCAGAAGAAGAGGAAGAAGGCCAACCTGGAGAGGGATCAGCTCCATCAAGGAAGTCCCAGCCTTGGGTTCACAAGAGCGGAGCAGGGCTGTCATGGGCAGGACATTGTGGGGGGCTCTCACTTCTAGGGCCACCATAAACTGGGGTGCTTTGGCAGCACAGAACAACGGCAAAGGACAGCATGTTCCCTGAGAAGATTTCCAGGCCAGTGAAGGCTTTCGGAAGGCTTGTAAAAGTGTTTTTGCCCCTTCAGACCCGATGAGATAATTTTATGGTATTTCATTCACAGCTCACGCACTGTGATTCCATGCTTAATTAAATCTCAAATAAGCACAATTAAATTATAATTGTAACATGCTTTGTCTTTATGGTATTATGTTATGAATTGCCCAAAAGGCCATGGTGGACAGAGGTCATTTTTTTTAATTAAGCAAAGTTAGTTCCCAAATGTCCCAGAAACCATGCTTCTGCCTTTTCTCAGCATTTAATTAATTATGGAAAAATTACACCCTATAATTTTTGTAATTTTCTCCCCAGAGGTCAAGAACATTCCAACATGTTAGCCATAGGATGACTTTAAATCCTATAGATCTCCATTTGGCCCTAAACTTTATCGATCATGGATTTCTTTGCAGAAGTACACCTAGAGCGATGTGGGTCACAGCATACATAATCAGAGGATGGGTTGTGTATTCCACACACAGAAGACTTTGCTCAGCAACTTCCTTTGGCCAACAAATGCACAGATTCATAAATCATGCTTTCCCTCCGTGCTTCTCAGGGCACTAAAAAGTAACTGCACACTCAGAGCAATGACTGTGGGTTTCAAAGGGCACTGTTTTCAAGGCCAACAGAAAAACACGTTCATAGAAAACGATGTTGAAAAAAAGCGGCAAATGCACAGAAGCGAATTATATTCTCCGAAAATTATGCAACCAACACACAAAGAAACAAGCAGAGTATTCAAATCTGAAAAGACTCTCATACACAAAAGAGAGATTTAGATGCATTTAAGTCTACCAGCTTAAAAAGTGTACTGCAACGAATCTCCCAGGCCTCGGATCCCAAGGTGTTCCAGCGGCCCTCCCTCTGGCATGCGGCCCCATTTCCTTCCCACTGAAAAAGTACATCCAGTGAAAACCGCAGCCCTTCTTACCAGTGCAAATGCATGGACGCGCAATTGCGCATCATCCAGAGGAAACACACGGGATCGCAGCAGAGGGGAAAGGCCGGGTGAGGAAGGGTCTACCAGGGCCGGCCCGTCGCCGATCCGAGCAGCACCCGCTTCCCACTGCGCCTCCCTGGGAAAGCAACGAGGATGCCCGCGCGGGGCGAGGGGCCACGTACCTTCCCAGCTCCTCGCCCGCCACCTGCTCCTTCTCAATCAAGGCCTCCTTCTCCTCCTCCTTCTCCTTCTGCTCCCCGTTCGACTCCGCCTTCGCCGGGCTGACCGCCTCTGCGCCCGCTTCCGGCCCGGCCGGCCGGTGCTCCCTGGCCTCGGTGCGCACGCGGCGGTGGCGGCTGCGCCTCACGCTCTGCCGGAGCCGGGCCCGCTCCTCGAAGCCGGTGCTCCCGCCGCCGTCCTGCTCGCCCAGGCCGCAGTTCCCGTGGAAGGACTTGTGCTGCCACTGCTCCCGCCTGGCGCGCGGCGAGGGGCTCCGCTGCTCCCCGCGGAGGCTGGGGCACGCATTGGGGCCTGGGGGCTGCTGCTGCTGCTGCTCCTGGCCGTCCCCGGCGGCCCGCTCCGGCCTGCCCGCCGCCTCCTCCTCGCCCTTCTCCGGGCCGCTGTTTTCCAGCGGCTTCCTCCTCCGGAAAAGGCTGGCGTGCGGGTTGAGCAGCGGGGGGTCCTTGTTGAGGCCTTCCTGGCTGGACATCTGCATGTGGCGGCGCAGCTGGCTGGTCCGCTGCTCCCAGACGGACATGTGGTGCCTCCTCCTCCTCTCCCTCCTGCGCAGGGACAACAAAGGGTTCAGCCCCGCTGCGCCCCAGAAGCGCGAGAACGCGCCCCGGGGCAGGGGGCACGCGCCCCGGGGGGGGCCCCTGCCCCTCCGAGCCCTACTCGGTGCGGGATCCGGGGAGAATCGGGCCCGCGCGCATGCGAAGCCTGCCCCGCGCTTCACGTGGCGACAAGCTCCGCGCCACGGGGGATGGACGCGGGAAGCGCCGTGCTCTGCAAGAGGCAAAGGGGAGCTTTCCTCTCTCTCCACCCTCACCCCCCTCAGCCTGCGCCGCTCTCGTATTAAACACTTTTGGGACTTGTTGAAGCACACTCGCGTTCGCAGACCAGCGCGGAGGTGGGCGGGGGGCTTGCTGTGTTGCGCCCCGTCAGGGCAAGCCCATCCCGTAGGCAAGTAGCCTGCGGTGCAGAGGGTGGCGACCAGCAGCTGGGAGGTCCCAGGAGAAGCCTGCGTGGGGTGCAGGCAAGAGCAGGAGGGGGCAGGCATGCAACGCTAGGTCCCATTCAGCTTGGCACAGATGTCTCGATGCAAACGCACCGGGGCAGATCAGGCATCTCAGAAGTCCAGCCTTAAGAATCTCCTCTCCTCTCCTCTCCTCCCACCCCTCCACTCCCTGCAATCAGAATCAGTCTTGCTCGGATGCAAGTCCTCATGGCTCTTCACGCAGATCTCCCTAGTTCCTAGCTTTGAGCTTCCAGGTACAAGAGGCTTCTCCATGAAGCAAGCCACCTCCCACCTTGGTCCCACAAAAAAAAAAAAAAAAAAACAGGGCCTTGGCATCTCTGGGACTTCCCACACAGCTAGTCTCTGCTCCCTTCTTCGCGGCGGGGTATTGAAAAATGGGCCCGTGGGCCTGACCCACTGACGGGTCAGTCATGAGAATGACCGGCTGTGCAGCTGGTCTTTTGGCAAGGAGTGTTTTACACTATTGTAACACCACACACAGGAAAACTGTGGACAGACGGACGTCCCAACGCAGGCATACATAGACAGACATACTGCTTGACAGACGTCAGCCAGAGAATGCACACAGAACAACCTTGATTTTTCTATGCGCACAGTGATATATAATTAATAGAGACACACACGCCGATAGTCACAAAGCCTCTTCACCTGAATCCCAGGTATACATCTCAACACAGCGCAAACGAAGACGCACACTGGTATACTGCACAAGGACCGTAGGCTCCACTAACAGTTCTCCAGACCACACACTAAGGAACTGAAACATACCCAATACATACTCACAACATAAACACAAAGCAGCCCCGACACACTCCACCCCACGAGGGAAGTCTTTCCCACACACACACACACAACCTCACACAACAGGCTGTCACATGCACACATACAGATTACTGGTGCGTGGTTCCCACATCGACATGTGGTGTCTTCTCCTCCTCTCTCTTCTGGGGAAGAAAAAGGAACGGGTTCAGTCCATGACAACATCACCGGGTTTTAGGGTCACCTGTGTGTGCAACCCCAGAGGTGCTCGAGTGGAAAGCCATGGCAGCTCGGATGCTTGTGCAGGGAGGCAGGTCATAATCCACCGTTTTCACACAAGTAGCAACCATTAAATACAAGGCACGCGGCAAGCGCAGGGAACACGGCTGGGAAATGGCATCACATCAGCCACAGACCCGCTCAGAGCAGCCGATCTGCACTTACAGACGTGCAAAGTGAGTTAGATATGCAGCGTGCAAAACTCTGATGGGAGACCGTCGGCTAGACCCATCTGAACGTGTTCTTAGCATCACCGGGGAAGGTTCTGCAAGAGCCTGTTGGCGAAACCATCTGCCACAGACTCCAGAGATCCGCAGTCAGTCCCTCGTTCTGCCATTCAGGATGGATTTGCTGTTCAGAGTGGCTTCCTTATAAAGTTACAAGTCAAATTCACAACTTAAGTGCATTACAGCAATAAATGTGCGTCATTGTTTCTTCACTGTCCTTCCCCCCGCAGTTCCCTACTCTTACAATAGCAAATTGGCATGGGTGGGAGACACAGTGAGTGAGGAACTGGGCTTTAGACCATGAAGAAAGTTCGGGATAGATTCACAGACATGTACATTCTCCTGTACACATTCGTGTTGAGAGCAGGGGCATAAGAAGTTCACTGGCTTTTTCTGTACGTAGGGAGCCGGAAACAGGGACATAATTCCAGTTCTCGTGGAAAAGCATATGTGCATTTTAGAGTCAAATAACTCGGCCGATCCTTGGCCAGATGCAAAACTGGATTATGCAAAGCAATATATTTTAAGTCTGGTCTTGAGATTACTTTTTAATTCCTCCTAACAGCCAATGACGTGGGTGCTTTGGAGGAATGGTCACATCTGCAGGGCAAAATGCAGGGCAGGCAAAATAACAAACACCCCTCCCTTGGGGAGTCCCTGGGCCCACACCCTTCTGACCCATAACAGCCGCCATCCAGATGGTGTAAAACACACTTCATCTTTGTGTCACTTGCATCAGACATGAAGCCCACCAAGCCTGCAGGTGAGTATCAGTGCACACATCCACTGCACGCACACCGCTAACCAAATCATGCAGCGACTCTCCTGCCAGGGGGCACCAGATGTGACCCCGTACCTCAAAACCTCCTGGCCTGCATGCAGCCCTATCCACCCCCATGGGAAGACGGGCATTCCTAATCTCCCAGACTTCATCAGCAGCCACGCCTTGCTCCATTCGCTAGGATCTCCATTTCCCCTTGGTTGCTCATTCCTCTCGCACAGCCTCAGAGCATTCGGAATAAACTCTGGTTGTGTTTGGGCTCATGCCACAGCTGGGCATCGGTGGATCTGCACCTCCTCGTTTTGCCCCCGTTCCAAACATTGGACACCTCCTGGAGAAATCCAAGGCCTCCGTGGCTATGTCAAAACGTACCATTGAACACGCTCCAGTTCATGTGGCAACCAATTTATTTCTGCTGAAAACATGGAGGCATCTCCTGCACATTTTGCTGTCAACCAAATCTACTGCAAACCTAGGAATCCGCCGAACCCTTGTAAAAGTTTGGTTTCATTTACTGCAAAGGCACAAGGGCCTTTTCAGTTCTGCTAGCTTTGCACCAGCATCTTCAAAAGCCTCTGTTCCCCATCGTGGCATCTCCCTGTTATTAGTGCAACATAGTTTCTGGAACCCCGTCACTGGCTCCTGTGCCGCAGAGCTGATGTAGAAACCTGTGCATCTCATGAACAGGTTGTACACACGAGTGCTTCTCCTGGTAGCATCTCCTTTCCTCCAGGTCACTACATTTTTGCAGTGTAGGAGCCAGTCACAAGGGGAACCACCATGCCAGTAAAAGAACTCTAATTCTCTGCATCTCTCTAGGCAGAAACTTAGGGCCAGTTCATACACAGTGCTACCCACTTGCGGTAACTCATTTGTATGGAACAGTTCACTATAAAACCAGAAAAGTTTTGACCCCCTTGAAAGAAAAGGAGCCCGAATCTTGCAAATCTGAGTATCTACCATCCAGTGTCAATCTTGCCATTCTTGGGAAAAGTGCTGGAACGGGAGGTGACATTTTGACTCCAAGAAATTGGGACAGTTTGAGACCAAATGTGGAGCTCTCTCCCCTAAGCTTGGCCTTCTCTTCTGTGGTCTTTAAGTATTCTCCATTTTTTAGAACTCCATCACGCTTTTAATTTTTTGTTGCAGTACGTGATTTAAGCTGATTCTGTTTGACGGCATTTGTTCCCCTGTTCTGTTACTAATATCTTAATTTTAAGTCGCCTTGTGAGGATGTGCCCTAAAAGGTGAGGCAACGATAAGAACACAGGAAGAGCTGTGCTGGTTTCCACCAAAGATATCCTGTTTCCCACCAAAGATACCCTTCATTATCCTGCTTTGCACACCAGTCAACCAGATGCCCACAGATCCCACAAGCAGGGACACCTCCTGCTTCTGTTCCCAAGCTGCTGGGACTGAGAAGCATGTGGCCTCAGATACAGAAGGTCACATATAGTCATCTTCACTGGTGCCCCTGAAAACCACCCAAGTTGGTGGCCATCCGAACGTCTTGGGATAGTGGATTCCATCCTTTATGTACACACCTGCAGAGAAGAAGTTCCTACGAAATTACTCAGATATTTCAACTGAAGGGAATTCTCCAAATCTACTTCCAATTTTGCTGTCTACAAAATCTAGTAAGAACCGAGGGATAAGCTGAACCCTTGTCAAAGTTTGGTCTCATTTCTCAGATGTTTCACCTAAGGAGTAAGCACTGCATTACTTCAGGTATCTTTTTGAGCAGTGAGCCTCCACAGGGCCGACTCTTCCTTTGTTATGCGAACTCTCCAGTCACAGTTGCAACAAGCTGGAGGATGTGGGGAGAAGGTGGCCCAGGAACTAAAATTGGCAACTCACTCAATAGCAGGCATGTTGGGAGCTGACATTGGGCTGACTTCCTTGGCTTTCTGCAGCGCGTGCTTCTGGTTAAAAGCCTCTTCTTCCTCCTGCTCGTCCTAAATGCAAGAGAAAGGCACTCATGAAGGTGGAAGAATACAGGAGACGATCTTTTCTCACATGCTACGAATGATAGGACTCGGTTACACGTGGGGTCACCTGGCTGAAGCGTGGAAGTCTGTACCTCTGCTTTGCATTCACTTCTCCCCTCCCTTCCCAGTTGCTGGGTGAGACGCCCAGAAGGTGCATCGCTCTTTGAGAAAGGCAGGAGTTGTATTAGTGCATCTGTTTGCTCCTTGCTCTCATCCTCACACTAATATCCTATGCTTCCTCCAAGCATCGCAGATTCCCAGGCAGTGTCTTACCCACAAACACTGCGAGGTCAGGCCTCCTTCATTTCAGTGACACAACTATGTCGCAGGCCATTCCTGGAGCGATGCAGAAAGGCACTAATACCCTCACTGTAGGTAGTGTAACAATGAGAGCAGCCGAGTATGGTTAGAGCTTATTCCCGACTTGCGTGAGCTACTCTCACCTTCCATTTCCTCTTTTCAGGGGTCGTTTTTGGCTAATTATGGGGGCACAACATTGTAGGCCTCTCCCTCCACTGGGCAGAGGCAGAATGGTCTCTCCCAGAGGTAAATTTTGTTTTGTTTAGTCACAAAGTCGCACCCGACCCATCGCGACCCCATGGACAACATTCCTCCAGGCCTTCCTGTCCTCCACCATCCCCTGGAGTCCACCCAAGCCCACACCCACCACCCCAGGGACCCCATCCAGCCACCTCACCCTCTGCCGCCCTCTTCTCCTTTTGCCGTCAATCAAGGAAAATTAGATAGCTGGATTCCTACGTATCACTGTGCTCCCTTCCATTCTCCGTAGCCACGTCAGGGGTAGACATGCACCAGCAGGCCTGCTTAGTGCCCAAGCCGTGGCTGATGAAGCTGTGCTGGAAATTGGATGTCTGGACTCTTTCCATTTCTAAATCATTCTGAGCGCAGCCATGGTCCCAGTTGCTTAGCTAGTCCGCTATATTCCACGGTGCACCTTGGCTCCTCACGGTGCACCAGATCCCCATGAAAGCCTCCTTGGCACTGTCCCAATTCATAATTGTTAGCTAATGACAATAGTACCAATGTCAGGCAGCAAGGGAATTGTGGGAAGTGGGGAATGAACAATACTTGGGAGCTTTTAGCGCTTCGACTGTAATGAACCCCAAAGTAATGAAAAAGAATGAGCAATTGTGTCGATCGGGATATCTGACAGGGAAGGGGACTTCGGTCTTTTTCGGTGCCTGCCACACTGAAAAGAAGAGGCGCTGCCGAAAAGGGGGAAAGGTTGAGCGATCAAGCAAACGCATCCAACAATGTGAATGGGTTGGTTTTGCCCGCTTGCAGAAGGGACTGGGTAGGGCTGTAGGAGAATTGTGTTCCGGAACACAAATCAGGCAAATACGTTCCATTCGCAAGCCCACATGCAAATACAAATGAGAATGTGATTCTTCAAAATGCCTGCGAGTTCCTAAATTTTGCATTTATGTTTGAAAAGACCCATTTCCAAGCATCTGTACAAGTGCATTGTGCTCAAATGTGGAGCAAGAAGTACAGTGGATGTGGATGAAGCTTAGCGAGAGGCTACATCTGAACCGATTTATATTTACCTTTGTCAGCTCCTGCGCATTGGCGAGGTTGTCCACGGCAATGGCCAAAAACACGTTAAGCAGGGTATCTGACATCGTTTAGGAGGAACAAAGCCTCTGAAGGGGCAGGCCAGGTGGAGAGCGCACGGGACCATGCAGCCTGGTGAAGAAGGCTTCCTGGTGGACGCAGGGGCACTCAGAACCCTCAGCACATGGCCATGAGTAATCTTGTGGCCCAGGCTCACCTCACAGATCTCTCCCAATGCCCACAAGTCTGTCCTGTGATTCGTAGGGTCCCAGACTAGGAAGGCCTCAACACCCTCTGACATGTCCACTGATCATTGTCAGCGGGAGACAACAGGTTGGGGGATGCAATTTGGATCCCCCAGATGGCCTGTTGTCGTGAGCTGGGGCCCCTTAACACACGCACAGTGGCAGACCTTTCTTGCAAAATGTTCGTTATTGGCCAAAGCATTTTCCAGAAGCACAAACACCCAGAAGGAATCTCTGAGCATGCACAGAGCAGTTTGCTGAACCCCAGTATTACTAGTATTACTTCCAAGAACTTTCCTTATGGGCACGCCTGAGCCCCTTCCCTTTGGGAGGGGCCCCCTGGAAACAATCACGCCTCCTCTCTGCACGCTGATCCTCTAATTGGGTTGCTCTCCTCTGTCAACGTCACATCATGGGGTCAAGAGCTGCACCCATCTCGTCTGTCTCTGAGAAGCTCCCCTGCTCCAATCCCCTCCTAAGAACTGTACATCTTGGTTATTCTCAGAGACTACCTCAGCACCTGCAGAGTCTGGCCTTGAGATAAGCACCTCCGCTTCTCTCATCTCAACATCTGGAATTGGACCACCTTCCAAGACCTCTCCTCCTCCTCCTCCTCGTCCTCCTCGTCCTCCTCCTCCTCCAAATCCAATCAGCAAGACTTGAGAAGGAGGCCAAGAGCAACTTTCTTTCTAAGTCGCAACACCCAGGAAGAAAGGGGACTTCAGCCCCTTCACTATGCTCTGCTCTGATTCACAAGCCCATGGCTACACTGAGGTCCAAACTGGTTTGCTGTCCAGGGCCCGATCATGCACCTCCCAGTTTGCATGTTCTTTGGCCCTAAAGATCCAAGTGAAAGTGGGGAGACCCACAAAGGGGGTCGCCCTCTTGAAATTTGCAAAGGGCTATGTCAGAACCAGGTTCAAAATAAAGCGATAGGAAGGATACAGTTTCCAAACAGAGTGAGAACGATGAAGTAGATGGACGACCACATTCCTGAGCTGACACCGCCTTGGGAGCGAATCCCATTGTACATCACCTCGTTCCAGTCTTCGCCTGTCAGGATCTAAAGAAGCAAGAGGTTCAGCTAGAACAGCAGCCACGTTTTACACAAGGGAAGTTGCGCTCAAGGCACAGAAACCCCATTAAGGCAACAAAACACACACCAACAAAGAAGAAAGCTCTCTCTTCCTTCCCTATTTGGCCAATATCATCTCGCCCTGGTTTTTAATGTCTCAGCTGACAAAATACAGCATGGCAGCAGAATGCCAGGGACTGCAAAGAAGTGGTACAGTCTTTTCAGGGAGGGCTTAGTGTTTGCATAAGACAAGCAGGTCAAAGCTGGATGCAAAGAAACTGTGCCAGCCGTATTACCAAACCAACCGCTGGGGTTTTACAACTTCAGATTATGAGAAGGGCACAAAAACAACTTCCGGAAGGTGGGAAATTAGCATTTGGGTACCAAGCTAGGCTTAGGGCAGGCCCTTTCTCACTGAAATATTAATATGCTATGTGCTGTAAAAATTATTATTTTTACATTAAAAATTACAATCCACTACCTGCTCTCTGAACTCGATAAAGCTCCTACCATCAAGCACAGAGCACCATGGGGATCGGTTGATCGTGTGCTCTGTCGTGAGACAGAGTCCTGCCATTCTCAGCAAGAGTGCCTGACATTATTATTATTATTATTATTATTATTATTATTATTATTATTATTGTTATTATAATAACATTTCTATGCCGCCCCTTGCCGAAACCTCGGGGCGGACATGAGGGAATGGTGTTCCCCAAAGCTTTTGCTCGGGGAGCTATGCTGAGAAAGCGTTCGTCGAAAGCCAAAGAAAGGCTCTGTCTTGCTGAACAGAGAAGACTAAGCTGGCTGGGCACAGGGAAACAGCTTGGTTAGAGATTCAGAGAGGAGAGGGAAAGAAAGAAGCAGAAGGTTACGTCAAGATCAGGTGAGCTTTTGTCAGGTATGGAATGGACAAATGCAGGAGCGGGGAGGACAAATGTGACGGAGCATGTTGAGGAATAAAGCCAGGGAGAGCCAGTGCAGAAATGCAAGTCCACCGGTGACAACCCGCAGCATCGGAAGAAATACTTTTTCAGCGGAGGCACTTGGGATTGACTGAAGGGGAGCTGATGGGAGATTACATTAAGTAGGAGAAGGCTGCAGTATCGCTTGCACCTCATTAGTGTTAATTAGAGTTATTTGTTTTGAGATTCTCAGCCCCTCCGCATGGGAAGATATCAGTAGCTGCCACGAGGGAGCCGAGCATGGGGGATTTGGAGCAGAAAAGCAGTACAAAGTAAGCTCGCTGAGTAAGATCTTGCCCTGTCTGGATCTGATTACCTTAGGGTCACCATGGAAGAATATTCTACGGAACAAATGGAGGGTGAAGGACACAACCATTGAGATCTTTGCTCATGGGAAGCCTACGTGTGGGACTAACTTTATATCAGGAACCTGGGACTGCTCCCGAAATTCTCCCCTCCCCCCCGCAACATGCAGAAGGGAGAAGTCCGTGGTCTGTTGGGTTTCCCCGTCTCCACACAGCATCTCCCGCTGTGGCTGGCAGGGAGGGGGCAGCACACCGCCATGTCTTCAGGGAGAGACGCTCCCAGAGACTGCGCCCCTAATTTTCATAACACCCGTCCTCGCTCAGAGCTGCAAATTTAAATGGAGCCTCTGCTAAGGGACACGGACGTCTGAGGTACTTGCTCCAGCAGTAGCCTTCTCACCACAGAGTTATACCTGGAAGACTGTCATGATGGCTGCAGGAAAAGTATCAAAGTTTGCAGAAGGAGTTCCATCCATAAAGTTAAATCTATAGAAAAGGAAGTGAAAATTACAAAAAAGAGCAAGCTCCTTCTGACTGCAGAACTGCAACGCACCCAACCTCCTTGCCTCTTTTTCTTTTCCTTCTGCTATGATTTCTTTCTGCTATGATGCTTTTACCCCATCTTTGGTAAAAGTGCCATACGATTTTGTATTCCCATTTTTCTCCCCCAGTTTCTCCCATTAATGAAGCGTATGAGGTGTGGCTGTATATATTTAATCACTTCGTGTCACAGGTTGACAACCCGTTTGGACTGTGGGCACACTAAGCCACTCAGGGAGCCAGCACAGCTGAGTGAATGGCAAACACAACTTTAGATAAAATAAAATAGGCAGTCCAAGAAACTGTCCTGGGCACCAGCACAAAATGGCTGCCATGGGAGGCGTGGCAAAGGAGAAGTCTGAGTACAAAGTCTGAGCACAATGCACATTTGAGGTCCGAGTTCCAACACACTAAACAACTCTGTCAGATCTAGGTTACAGCACCAGTGGAAACCTATTTCACCGCAGCTGGAAACTAAAAGTGTCACATACCTGAGAAGGAGAAAGCACCTTGACAGGTGTTATAAAAGGTAGGCACTGGTGCCTACAGGCACTGTTCTGCCTACTGTTGGGCATGCATGTATGTGTTAGTAAGAATACACACACGTGTATTCATATATATCGGTGCAGAATGGAAGGAGGACAAGAGCATAGACGTGAGAAGGTGGAGAAGGTCAGAAATCTTGTAAGCTTTCTGTGAGTATGATTCAGAAATGGCAGCTGAATGTGGAGAGCCATTCGGATCCAAGTAGGATGGATACCTTCCAACCCTTGGTAGAATGGTCCATATTTACCACCACTTTCTTGCTCTGATACACATTCGCTGCCCACACATATCTAGGTCTACCTCCACAGGAAAGAGGGTTATAAGCCGAGCCAAAAAGAGCTGAATGATTCCTAGAATGCACAATCCTGCCTCAGGTAGGGAATGTTACGTCGTGCAGCAAATTTGCAGACAGAGAGAACAGATGCAATCTTGGTTATAGGACCAGCTCACAAGCTCCTTCAACAGAAATCAGTATCACCATTCCCTGGAGAAATTCAGCGAGCAATTGCCTGGCCTAGTGTGCATGAGAATAGGAAGCTTGTTGAATAAATATAAAGCTACTTATGGAGTCTATGGAATAGTTTAGCACATTGGCAAGCATTTCCCAAAGACACGGCTCACCTTCCTTGGCCATTCACTCACCTGCCACCAAACAGCTGCATCCCAAGCAGGGCAAAGACTACAATGAAGAGGAAAAGGAGGAAGAGCAGGCTGATAATAGACTTCATAGAACTCATCAGTGAGACCACCAAATTCCTCAAGGAAGCCCAATACCTAGAAAATCCAGATGTTACTGTAGCTAGCTTCCGGAAGCATTGCAAGACGGTTTCATTTGGGCTGGCCCTTGGTGGCCAGAATTCAGTGTGTATGTCCATGCGTGTGTGCATGCACGTGGGTGTACACGGACAGATGGACAGTTTAATCCATTGGAGCCAACGCGTTAACCAATGTGAGACAGATTAGATAGTATTCATAGTACAGGCTTAAAAGGAGGAGCAGGGCTGTCAGTGGAGCAAAGAAGCAGAGCACAAGGCTGGGGCAACACCAGCCTGATTCACATATAATGTTCAACCATTGTGTGGTTTGTTGAAATCTGGCTTGTCATAGTGTCGGAACCGTCTGCCATAACCACACAGAGAACCCATGGTTTGTTGATGGCTTATAAAGTCTAGATGGTTTCAATCATGACTTGTTATGATGTCTTAGAACCATGGCTCATGCCAGCTTGTTTGCACTACTGTCTACCCTGAAAAAGGAGGCTAACACCGGAATACCTCTGGCATTCAGTACAGAGGTACTGAAAATAAAGCTGGTTTGAAAGCTATCAAAATGGGTGGGAAAGAAACAGGCCAGAAATAGGGAAAACAGTCTGCAGTCTGTTTGCTTGTCTATGAGGCTATTTAAGGCTAATGTAACAAGGCTAATGTAACTATTTAAGGCTAATGTAACATTTTTAACATAAAACATGGTTTAGTGTTACATGTAAATACAGCCACTCACTCAAGGAAGGTTGGATTAAAACTCACTCACTTTGTGATTTTAAATATTCTAAGAAGTCGCAGGGCTCGCAGGACACTAATTCCAAATGAGGTTCCTGGTCTGAAGATAGCCCAGACTACCTCAAAGATGCTTCCCACTGTGACCTGAGAGAGTGAATAAATGAGGGAGGGAGGGAGGGAGGAAAAAACCCATGATTAGAAAGGGATCGGAAACTACCAAGTCCAACCACATTTCAACAGCTGCTCCATGAGTCTGCATTCTCTATCACTCTCTGTCACACACACACACACAAACACACACACTATTCGCACCCCAAACAAGATGCAATAATTTACTGGAACGCAGGTCTCAGGCTTGCGAGCTCTACTTTGATGTTTACTAGAGCGGGAGACCCACCAACTACAGCAAGTACAAAATATTGACTTGGATCGATGCAACCAAGGACCAGGGTGCCTCTAGTTTTGCAAAAACTACTTTGCAAACCGCTCCGGGATTATTGTTTTTTTAAATCCAAAGTGGTATCAACTTTCCATGGAATAAATGCACGATTAACCAAGTGAGAAGGTTACTTCTATTTGTTTGATCCCACTTACCATATGAGCTGGCTTGTAAAACCCGCAAGTATTCGCCACCTGTAATACCCTGTTTCTCCTTGCTGACTGGCAAATAGTCATAGCCACTAAGGAGAACCTGCAGAGACCCCCTGCCCATTGCAACAAGGAAGTCTCTGGCCAGCCCTTCACATGTGCCCACATCTCCCACTCCCACCCCCCCAGCTCTCCCACAGGGATGGAGACCAGCCCCTGACAAGGGACTGAAAAGGGGAACTTGAGGGAAGACCATCCTTGGATCCAGTTTCTAGATGATGTGACTAAGGGACTGTGCAAAGCTCAGACGCCTGTGGACTGAGCCCCCTACATGGCCATCCTGGGCAGCTCACATCACCGAAATTCTCAAGCAGAACTTCTTCCCCTCCCGAGCATCCATGCTTGCTTTGTGCGACTTATCAGGATACTGCTTACCCCACAGTCAAAGCAGTTGAAAGAGGAGTGAAAGTAAAGCCGTGGCCCCATTCCGTACATCTTCAAGGACATCTCTAGGAGGAAGAGTCCCAAAAATATGAACTCTGCATAGTCTGTAAGGAAGAAATCCAGGTGTTCCTCATCCATGACTGGAATAACATTTCGTAAAGCAGGGTGTACCCACAAAGAGCTGCTGAGCACTCCAAAAGTCCTCCTCGTGACTGTGCACGGAGGCACACGGCAGGGTGCAGAAAGTGAGTGTGATCCGGGTGCCGGCAGCCACCTTTGCAGCTCCAGCTTTCTCCAGAGTAGAACTGGCTGCCAATTCCCAGGCATGCCTGATTTATTCCAACACAGGGAGGGCAGAAACAAGCACCCACTCAATGATGGACAACTAGCCTATTTCTGGTCCACCACGGATTGCCTGAAGGCACCTGGGATTCTTGCAAAGAATACCGGGCCATTGTCTTCTTTATGCCTCTAAGAAAGAGTACACGCTCAGGTTCATTGAGCAAAGATGCTTCTTTAATTCTGAAGCGCACCTGGTTATGCACCTCCATCTTAGAACATAAATCAGACCTGCTGGCTCACGCCAAAGGCTGGTATAGCATTCTGGTTCACACAGGTGCCTACGGGAAGCCTGCAAGAAGGACATGCAGCCAAGGGAGCCCTCCTGCTCATGTTTCCACCAACTGGTATTCAGAGGGACTATCTTTAGAAGGCCAGGTCCTGCAGATGAAACCCAAATACTTTGGCCACCTAATGAGAAGGAAGGATTCCCTGGAGAAGACCCTGATGCTGGGAACAGTAAATGGCAAAAGAAGAGGACGGCAGAGGATGAGGTGGCTGGATGGAGTCACTGAAGCAGTTGGTGTGAGCTTAAGTGGACTCCGGGGATGGTGGAGGACAGGAAGGCCTGGAGGAGCGTTGTCCATGGGGTCGCAATGGGTCGGACACGACTTCGCGACCAGCAACAAAATTTAGCCACCATGGTCAGCAGGTCTTGATAGCCTTACCCTCCAAGAATTTGCCTAATGCTTTTCTAAAACAGTCCAGGTTGAACAGTCCATCATCTTGTTTAGCTTTGTGCGGAGAAGAACTTCCTAGTCTTGAATATCCCACATGGAGCCTCTCTGGATGACTCCATGGTCTAGTATTACGGGAGAAGAAGCGCGTCTCCCCAAAACCCTTTCTCCACGGAGTTTCCAATAAAATGAAGCGGAAGGCCCGTCCCTGCTCTGGCCTTTCCTCAAGCGGTCCCCGTATCCATGGGACCCTGTGGACCAATCTGGCTGATAGGCTAGAATGGAGGCAAAGCTGCTAGAGCCATTTCTTTGGCCTAATTCACAGGGCAACAGCAATTGGAAAGGGCTTCCCAAAGCGTGTTGCAGAGCGCCTCTCCGAACTTTTTAATTGCTGGAAGCCTCTCCGAACAGCCCTTCCGGCAATTAAAAACATTCCTGCAGTTCTTGTGCCCAGAGCATCTAGAGAGGGAAACCTCTTCAGTTGTTCAAACCACTAGTGCTATTCTCTTCTGGGCTCAAAACCAAACATACTTCTCAATATTAAGTTTGTCCTAAATGTTGACTAATAGCAGAAGTAACCTGACAGTGGCTTTGAATTTCCCATTGAAGCATTTAGGTATCTGCGATGAAATTTCTGCTCCATCTTTCACAAACAGTGATCGGGAGAAGATATTAAGCCGGCCAGGACCTGCCCATTCAGCTGCTGATATTTTGACTCAAAGTAGAGATCCTTGTAGTGAGTCAAAACATCACTGGAACCCCAAAGTTGCTCTGACTCTCACTGCTATCGGACAGCCAATTTCTAAGCTTCACCGGAGTGTATTATCAACTGGCACTCTTCCACGACAGAGTGAGGCTCCCCAGTCAGCAAAAATGATTGGGACCAGTCAGTCCCCTTTCCCAGACCAAGTCATAAGCCTGAGTTTCCTGGAAAAAGCAGGGCTTTGCTTTGCTTACACACGGACTGGGCCCTCGGCCAGGACCTGTTCCCTTTCCTGTGGCAAGAGGGGTGCATAAACAACACGGAACCTGGCACTTACAAAGGAGGTGCGTGAGCCACAGAGGTTGGTTGTGATGGACAATTGCCACGCAGGCAGTATTGAGGGCCACGATGCTCAGGACAAGCCAATAGAACACCTGGGATTTCACCATGTGACGCACAGAGATGCGCAGCAGCCGCTCCTTGTGCCTGAAGTACGACGCACCGTCCAATTTAGCACTCTTGATGCTGGCACGAGCAAGCGGAGTACCTGCAGTGGGGCGAAGAAGGTAGGAACGGGGTGAGGTTTGATGGACACCCTACAGTAGCCGAGACAGAGAAGGAGTTTCCATGCATGCAGGAGAAGACTCCAATGCTGAAGGCAGCTTGGGCAGGATGTGGAACATGATTAGCATTAGTCCACACCAGAGCGGGGAAAGGAGAAGCGGCACCTTTCCATTTAGGAATAAGAGAAAAGACGGCTTTTAGCACTCCGCTCCTTTTGCTCCTGTTTAGGGTTCATCATTTGCTAGAGTTTAGTCCTGCAGCCAAGGGGCCCATGAATTTCAGTGGCACAAGCGCCAATGAAGCTGTGAACACTCCCTTCTGCAGCCTGGCAAATTTCACCTTTGTGGACAGCTAATTGCATAAAAGCATTGCAACGAATATGCCAGAAAAGAGCCCACAAAGGTTGCTAAAACTTGCTCCCCACAGCCGAGTCAAAGGAAGCAGTGTTCTTTTCTGTTGGAGTAAACAAAAACAGAATGACACATGAGAAACCACACAACTGTTTTATATTCTGCATGTGGACCTGTGCTGAGAACTGCCAATCAAAAGAGGTGGTTGTTGTTTTAATTTCCAAATCCATACTGCTATGCATTCAATATGCAGTTTCCAGAACCAGCAACGGTTTATTCTTTGCATCCCGCAAAGCTACTGGAATGGATTGTGTGGTTTACTTATTCCAATCAAGACTTTGCAGTTATTTCCTTATTCTGCTACACCCTTTGGGACTATTTAACATTAAAGAGGCAGGTAAGGAGGGGCATGATGGAAGTCCACAAAATTATGCATTGCATGGAGAACACGGATGGAACAGATCTTCTCCCTCTCTCGTATTGCTAGAATCCAGGACATCCCACGGTGCCGAATGGTGGATTCAGGACAGAGAAAAGATTCTTCACACAGCACATCATTACATTGTGGAATTTGCTGCCACAAGATGTAGTGAAGGAGGGACTAGATGGATTCGTGGAGGGTATAAATAAATAAAGCAAGCAAGCAAGCTATTGATGGGTACTAACTATGGGTACTAACTATGCATAGCCTCCAAAATCAGAGACAATCGCCAGGTTCACACATCACAAGAAACCACCCTGCGTGGTTTGTCGCATGAATGTGGCCACAAGACGATCTGGCTCATCATGGTGCCTCTCTTCCTCCCCACCATTTCCTTCCTTCCCAGTCCTCCAGGCAGCAATCCAAGAGGCGTCATGGGGGGGAATGAGGCTCCTCGCTTTGCCTGCTGCGGTCACAAGCCGAGCCTGGCTTGTCACAGCTTTCAAGCAGTTCCTGCTGAAGAAGCGCAGTTCATGCTCGAAAGCACAGCAGAGAAGTCAAGACACACGCAAGCCGGAATGGGGTGCCCAGGCTGCGCTCGGCCAGAAAGGGCAGAAAATCAGCTCAGCTACGCAGCGCAAAGGAGCTGCACCCTCTCCCAAGAGGAACAAGCTGTCCCCTCCCGCAGGGGGAGGACCCCCGGGCGGCAGCAGTGCCCAGTGGGGGCCTGTGACCGGCGCCACATCCCGCCCCCTTCCCGCCACCTGGGGGGGCCTCTGCGACAAGCCAGAGTGGGAAGGGGCCGGCGTGGGGTGGGGGGTTGCTCATGCAGCTTCTCTCAGATGTGCATGACCAGCTCTGCCTGCCCAGAGCTCCCCTTCTGCAAAAGTGCAAAAGGGACGGGGAAAAAAACTCCAAAGGAGGCAGCTCTGTTTGTCACAGGCTCTCAGCACAGCCTACCTCACAGGAGTGTTGTGGGAACAAGACTGAGAGCAGCAGGAGGCAAGTGATGCAAGCTGCTTTGAGATCATAAGGAAAAAGCACAATATAAATCTAATACATGAATACATACATAGCTGAATGAGCTAAACTTAAGTAAGAATGAAAACTGTCATCTTTATCCACCAACTATTGCCTTGATCCTGTATCCCATGGTTTTCTCTATAAAATCAAATGCATTTATTTGTTCCAGTTCAGCGATACACGCTAGAATCTCCCCCTGAAACGGCTCGCTTTATTTCCGTGCCCTTTGACTCTGGGAGTCGCCACAACTCCTCTGCCCTCTCCTGCTCTGCAATTCGAAAGGTTTGCCTTGCAAGTCTTGAGCCTCCCCTCCTCCCTTCACAAAATGCTGAAGGGTCGACGTAGCGGGAGAGGCGGGACACGGTGGTGCCTCCCACTGGACTGCCTGGGGCCTGGGTGGTCTTGGGCTGTTGACCATTCTCTCCACGGAGCGGACAGTCCTTCTGCCCGTTCTGCCTGGATGCTGCAATTCCGTGCTTTTCGGCAAAGGAGCCCTTTTCATTACAGGTCGGAAGAATGAGGGGGATCTCTGGACGGAAGGGTCGCTGGGCCAAGGACACGCATTCACTGGCTTCATCTTACCTACGGAGGAGATGTCCACACGCTCATCACTGGAGTCGCGATTCATGGCTTCCGTGCGGCTCCTTTTGATGGTCGCCCTCCTGAGAACTAGCAGCAGAAGACGGGTGGGTGGGAAGGCACCAAAGTCACCAGCATGTGAGTGTGTTCAGATACCAAACTCTTAACATTTACTCCGGAGGACCAAGTGTTGAAACCCCAGGTTGAGCTTCCGCAGTTCAAGAGCTGAAGCTGAGCAGTTCCGAACGGAGCCACTCCATTCATCCATCCATCCATCCATCCATCCATCCATCCATCCATCCGTCCGTCCGTCCGTCCGTCCGTCCATCCAATACATTTCTACACCGCCAATTAGCCAGAATGGCTCTCCAGACAGTTTACAAAATCATAACAAGCCACTCCCGTCCCTTGAGTACCCCAAGAGCCCTGCATTCCTTTAGGGGAAAGCTTGACATAATACATCAATGCCATGCATGGGGACACAATCCCGATGAGAGCACAACTGTCCCTCTGGCCTGGGGTGCGAGGCCTCGCCAAGGACTACAGGCCTTCACTATCTGCCCACCCCACCTACCAACCCCCTAATAATGGTGAGTGTTTTGCTAATAGCAAAGAGTGCCCAAATCAGGGTGGGGAAACTTTTTTATGCAGCAAGCTGCATTCCCTCAAGGAAAATCTCCTGCAAGCTGCATTCCAGAGGCGAATGTGGTTGGAGGACTGGAAGCAAAGGAGGCAGGGATGGAGCAGGGCCTGGACCACCTGCTTCCTGCCTCTCTCCCCCTCTTTCCTTCCCCATTTAAATCTGCCCCCATCCAGCAATTCGCAGAAGAGGGAGCTTTTCTTTCCATCCTTAATGACCAAGGGGGCATGATTTTGGGGAGCCAACAGAATGCAGGGATGGCTAATTCTTCCTTCCTCAGTGGTCACCATCCTCCCTCCCCAAAAAAGCATTTTGTAATTCCAATCTTGTAACCCTAGCGGTTGTGTAGACCGTGGGCTGAACCCAAAGGTGCCCACAGGCTGTAGGAGTCAAATTCCTGCCCCCAAAAGCAAGACTGTTTCCTAGTTTCTTGTTCCGGCCATAAAGTGTCCCATAGGCACACAGGAGAGACCACAACAAGAAGAGAACCCAGCTTTATTTTCATAAGAAAGTGATGCAGTCCTGCCTGCTCCTGGATAGATGTGCCACTGCTTGTTTACTTCTGAGTAGGCTTACAGTTGGTCATAATCACATGTCAGTGCTGCCAGTTCTGTTTTCCCAAATGGACCGCAGCCCCTGAGATCTTCTCCAGAATGGAATTCAGTCTTCCGGCTGGGAAAGCATCTCACCCACCTTGCTAGGACATGCTTGGAGACAGGCCAAAGAGAACACCTGTTCAGCCAGTCTGAGAGAGCAATCCTAAGCAGACTCACTAATGGACCTGGGGAGTCGTGGTCCAGACATTCCTTCCGCGAGGAACTCTCTACATCCCCGACAAATCAGGAGAGTACAGTTGGAAGGGGCATTGGGCCATTGGGTCCAACGCCCTGCTCTGTGCTGGACACCCAGCTGAAGCATCCCTCTCAGGCGGCTGGCTGTCCAGCTACTTCTTGAACATCTTCAGAGTTTGAAAGAGCTGAAAGAGGCATATCTGCTCACAATATTACCACCGGTGAACATATTTTACTACCGTTTTGAATACCTTGAATGGAGACAACAGCAGAGCAGAAGAAAGTGTGTGTGTGTGTGTGTGAAGGCATGCCCTTCTCAAGCCATTTTCAACTTTCTTAAAAAGGAAGTCTCTGAGCCCCAGGAGAGGTCTGCTGGCAGATATGGGAACTGCAGGCTGCTATTGACTGGCCAGGTAAAAACCGAGCAGGAGGGCAGCTGTACTTTCCCTGACTTTCCTGCTTTTCCCACTTCTCTGGGAAACACAACCGGGAACCGGAGCTGGGTGTGCAGGGGGCAAACAGAGGGAGTGGGAGAAAAACCTGCACTCGCCCCCAGGCGAGTGGCTCCACCTCCGTCCCTCTTCTCCGCTTTGACACACCAGTCTCAGCAACTAGATCCAACACTAGGAAGGGACTATTGTATTTTCAGGGTCTTGCACTGTATTTCAGACTATTGTGTTTAGACTGCTTACCTTCTAAGGCTGATGTGCCAGAATTCTTGTTCTCTTCGGCCAGCATTACTTCTTCTGCACAAAGACATGGACAGATAAACAGTTTAGGCATATGGTTATCAAGATCCTATAATCTTTTAGACCTCATATCAATAGAAATGGAGGAAAGAAGGGTTACAAGATACAGCAAACAGAGAAAATAAGGCTGCAGATGGATCATCATGAAGTGAAATGGATTAATTTCAATGTAAGAGACAAATATGTATTTATACTAACCAGTGTGCCAGGACTCAAAATCTGGCCTAAAGCATCGGGAGCTTAGCATCTTTCCCAGGGTCCCCAGGGAAAGAAAAAGCTTACAGTGAGGGGTCAGAACCAAGAGAGAAGACAGACTATTTTCTGCTTGGCTTCAGGGCTTTCGCTATTAGCTCCATCACCAGAGGCCTCCAAAAGTGGCTTGCAGAATAAAATATCAACAACAGTGAACAATGAAATAAAGCACTGCAGCCATAAAAACAATAAGACAGCCATAAAAACAGTCCTAAAACAAATGGGCATCAGTCACAGGACTGGATTTCCATGCCTTTGCTTCCTTGGGATGCCACTGCATTGGCAAAGAAGAGAAACTTTTCCCCTCAGAGGCACAATGTGGGTCACTGGATCTGGGAATTGGCGGCCACAAGCAGAGGCAAAGAACTTGATTTCCACTGCTGTGGATGAAAGACACGGGAGGCTGCCCGTTTCAAAGATGCATGAAGGTGATGGGAAGAACTGCTTAACCCTTTATCCTCTTAGAACTGGGCCATTCAAAATCACCCTCCCTCAAGCTGCTGTGTTTTTTTTTTTTTTCTCCTGTAGGGGAAAAGATATGGGCACCACCCCATATGCTTCCACCTTGAGCCAGTACACAGTTTGGTCCCCAAAGACCATTTTTTCCCAGGACCACTTCCAAGGCAACAGTTGACTCTTTGGCTCGGGCCACACGGTGAGAGAGCTGGTTAACGAGCGTTCTCCCAGCATCTGGGCATGCGGGAAAGCAGTGGGAGAAGCCAAGGAAACTTGTCCAAGCTTCAGTCAAAATATGGCCTGTATTAGACATGAAGTCACAGTGTGCCATCCCATTCAACCCTGTTTTGAAAGCTGAACTACTAGAAAAGATGTTTTTAAATTCATTTCTGTTATTTTGATAGGAATGTTCTGCAAAAACCCAAATATGCTTTATAGGCAAGCCTACCCAAACGTTTGCAAGGTGCCCCATACAGCGGCGATGGTTCTAGCTGGAGAAGAAATCAGAGAATAGGAGATCTCTAATCAGAAGTAAGCCCCATTAAGTTCAATGGGACTTACACCCCAGTAAATGCGCTGAAGAATCCACTAGCAAAATGATTTGAAGAAAAAAAAATTGGAAGGAGGAACATTTCACAAAGCAATCTCTACTTGTATTATGGAGTAAAATTTGCAACTTTTTGGTCAAATTATTGCTTCTTTACATTGCTCTTGCACATTCCTTGTTTAACCTATTAAGTGAAATGAGCACAAAAGTCAGCAATGAAAAGTGTGACTATTTACGCACACAGATTACGTCAAGTTTGAAGGTGGCAACTCGGGCAGCACAAAGCACACTGTGAAATCCTGTGCAAATTCGAAACATTTTTCCAGCCGAAGGAGGATTTTTAGAATGACATTGCATACTTGAGCAACTTAGAAAAAATATTGCCAGGTGTGCAGTGAGAGAGCCCTCTGTCAACAACTCCAAAACAACCAAACTTTTTGTAACAAGCTAAAAATGGCAAGAGACAGTTGATAAACAAATGGAACATGACTGAACCTGGATGAAGAGCTGTAAGATTGTGTCATAAATATTATCCAGGATGCCTGAAACATTCACATCACCACCTTCTAGGACTACAATTCCAACAGCAATGATAAGCCTTTCTTGTTCATTAAATTAGTTCGGTGTTATGGAAAGACCGCAAATATTCCAACTGCTCAGGTACAAATTAGTTAGCAAGAAAACATTCACAGTAGAAATGTATGTGAGAAAAGTTCATTGTCACATAAGCACTGGGAACTGCTGCGTGAAGCAGGCACAGGAGATTGATTGAAGGAGGTCCCAGAAGGTGGGGGACCTGAGGGGCAGGCAACCCGTTGACAGGTAGCTGAAGGGAAGTGATGGAGAAGGCAGTGAAATAAGATGCAGAAAACTGATGGGAAGCTAAGATACTTCCAGAAAGAGGACTCCATTTGCTAACCGTCAAAAGGCATTGCGTGACAATTGTGTCTTCTCTTCCATATTGATTTTTTCTGGAAAGAAAATATATGACAGAGCTGGTGGGGAAACCTGGGAGGACTACCAAGTGAAGACACCATGCTCTGGACCTTCTGCTCATTCCATGAATGAGGCAGCGTGATTGCAGAATAAAAGTCTTCACTGGACGCTCCCTCAGATGGAAGCTCTATGGCCAAAGGAAAAAGCTGTGAAGCTGTGATTACCACGGTGGCCTGACCAAGACCCTGGGAAGACTCCTGGGCCTCTGAGAGTTGCGTGCAAGAGGTAGTTCTCTCAGCTGGGTTGTCTACAGTGTTACTGTACTGCTTTAGCAACCCTAGGAGCCAATGGATGGCAGGATGGGGTCTGAGTTCCACATTTGGATTTGTATTCCAGAAGTCAGCTCGTATTTAAGATCTATTACCTGCAAGAAGGACCATAAAGCATAGGTTCCTCTACTCCTGCTGCTTGCCCCAGACGTCCTAGAGCATGTGAACCTCACACCACAATGGCTCACTATCCAAACACAAAAAGCAGGGGTGTGTGTGGAGACGTTCAAGCTTCAGCAGCCCTCAGTCTCTCAATGGCTCTCGGCTGTTCTGAAGTAACGTCTCAGCAGCTCCAAGTACCCTCTTGGTCCAAGAGGCACCAAGGTCTGTTTTACCTGCTTTGTCTATCCAAGCCCGGTAGCCGTTCAACTCCCGCTCAATCTGCTGCTGTCGCCTCAGCTTCATGAAGGCCCGGCGATTTTCCACTCGCTCTCTCTCTTTGGCAAATTCCCTGTAAAGACAGAAGGCCAAGGCGCAACTGGAAAAGGATTTCCCACGCCCAAGCGTGCGCTGTTGTGCAGAGGGGAAAGGCTGAGTAAGCACCGACAGGAAACCTGGATGGTGACTTGGGGAGAGCAGGAGTGAGCTCAGCTCTCCTCTCCTACAAGGAGTCCGAGGTGGCAAGCACAGCTGCACCTCCCTTTGGGATCGTCAGGACTCTGTGAAGCAGGTCAGGCGAAGAGACTGCGAATGGCCCAAGGCAAACTTCAGAGTGGAGCAGAGTGCAGAAGCAGGGCCCGCCAATGGCTCATGCTCTTCTCCCCAAACAATCCTGCACACAGGCGTGCAAGCGAGGCTCAGTGCGAGCAGGCAACAGACCGCCACTTCTCCTAAGAGCCAACCCATCACGTATGCACATTGCCCTTTCTCAAATCGTGCCAAGGGATTACTTGGGCAAGCCGATCAAAGCCTCCCTCCACCCTTGGCTCACCGATAGGCACTGTTCTGAATACCAATCCTCCAGTTTTGGGGTGCAGGGGGTCCTAATGCCTGCTTCTCTCCCCCATGGCTGTGCACTGCACATCCTCGGCAGTCTGTAGCGTGAGTTTGCAAAAGTACCAAACCAATAAGCCCCCCCCCCCCCACTCTTCCTTCAATTATCCTCTGGCTGGGAGGATGTTTTCCCAACTCATCACTTTCCTCCCAGCAACCTTTGCTGACCACAGCTTTCCCAGGACAGCTTTAAATGGGGTGGATCGTACAAGCGGGAGGGCCGGAGCTGTTCTTGCCCTTGACCGAGGCGGGGAGTGGGAGGCCTCGGAAAGCCATGCTTGGATGCTGAGAGCCGTTTCTTCCCAATACGGGGGACTGGGGAAAGCGGAGGAGATAAAAGCAGGCCTTGGGCATAATTCGGAGGGTACGATTCCTGCCCCCCTCCACCCAAAGCAAGCCTCCCCCGCCCCTCTCCAATGCACGCCTCTCATTCCACTCCTCGCCCGTGTGCCGACTCCGAGCAGGCGAGCCATATTTTCTCTCCCTCTCGCACACAAACGTGCAGGCTGGAATGCTGCCGATGGGGTGGGGGCGTGGGTGCATCATTCAGCAGAGCAGAGCCGTGCCGCAGCTTTGCCGCACAGTCGTTGGATCTGCCAAAGGTGCGGAAGGGTGGGCTGGAGGGAAGGCAGCAGAGGGAGCGGCGGCACGATCACAGTCCCCTGGCGATGCTCCAGGATCCCTGGATAACCAGACTCCTTGGATGGAAGGACCCCAGCAATCCCCTGCCTTCCCCCCGTCGCATCTGCAAGGCTGACCTTCCAGCACAGAAGCAAGTAGGCGAATGAAAATAGCCGTGAAGACCCACAGAGACACGCGCTTTTGTCTTTCTTTCCCTGCACAGCTCTGGCACTACCACAAGCCCTTCAAACAGAGACAAGAGCTTCCTAGATCCACCTCAGCAAACTGTAAACTAGTCTTTCTAGGAACCAGAAAGAATAACCAAATTAAGGGTGCTTCACTGGAGAAAGTTCAAGTGAACGGCGAGGTCCGTCTGCACAGTTATGTTCCCGCTCATTACGGACAGGTGTGAAAGCCGGACAGTGAAGGAAGTGGAGGGGAAGAAACTGGATGCAGTGGAAACACGGCCCTGGAAGAGAGCTTGGCGAATACGCCGGACAGGCCGGAAGATGAACAAGAGGGTGCTGCCCAAAGCAAGCCGGAGCTTTCTCTAGAAGCAAAAGTGACAGTGCTGAGGCTTTGCTACCTGGGGCACATCATGAGAAGGCAAGACTCTGGAGAAGGCAAGCATGCTCCAGGCGAAGCCAGCAGAAGCAAAGGAAGGCCAGCTATGAGACGGATGGACTCCATTAGGAAGCCACAGACTTGGCTTTGGAAGAGCCGAGCGGGCTGCCACGGACTGGGCACTTTGGAGGGCTTTCATTCACGGGGCCACCGTGGGCCTGAGATGGCCTGATGGCACATCACGGCGGCAGCGACCTCGGCAAAAGGCTAGTGCAGCCAGTTCACAAAATCAGCGGCACCACAGCTAACTGGGCCGGGTGCCGTCACACGGCTGTCGCTAAGGAGCTGTGGACAGGGTCAGTTTCTTGGATGGGAGACACAAGGATCTGCACGCAGAGCCAGAATGTAGGCAAAATGCTTTGTGCAAAAGGATTTAAAAACATGACCTGGTTTCTCTGGACTTGATGCTGCAAGAACATCGGGGTTGCCTTCGAAAGGATACCCAGCCCTGACAGTCTCATTTGTGTAGCTGTAAGATGCAGGTCACCAAAAACATTATTTGTCTCATCTACTGATTGCACTGTAGGTAATTGGTGGATGAGCCATTGCAATGAATGGGGTTTAGGGTACCTGGCTGGTGTAAGTTCGACTGTGCGTAGAAAGCTCTAAGTGAACTCCAAAAATTAGGCAGTCCTATCGTAGTCTCTGATCTATAAAGAACAGTGAAGGGCTGCTGGTTGTAGCAATGGATAAACCAGTGTTGCAGACGGGCTGGATCAGGCCAGTGAAGTGAGCTACTTCTCCCCAAAGCCTGGAAAAGCAGCTCAGCTTTTCCAGGCTAATTTCTAATTCAGAAACCCAGTTACACTTCTGATGTCATTTTCAGAGGTGTGGGAGTAAAAATAGTTTCTAGTGATAAAGAAGAGGTCTCAGCACACTCTTAACAGCTCTGAATTCTTCAGTCAGCTTGCAAGTGTAGAGGAGGAGAGTTCTAGGAACAGCATATTCCTTTTCGGGACCACTGTGCCACCCCACAGAGCAAGGGTCCCCACCCACCCCCTTGCAGGGGAGCAGTTTCACTGCATGGGCATCCCGGGCTTTTCTCTTTGGAAGAATACACTCCTTCTGTCCATCTGTTTGCTGCCTCCAGTTTGCACTTAGCAGGTATCTTTACCAAGTATCATGTTATTCCAGTTTCACCTCTGGGGCTTAATTCATCAGACACTACAGGAAAAACAGAACTGGCTCTCCTTAGTAGCGTATGGAGACATGGGGTTTTATTAGGGGTCAGCGGTTCACAGGAATACCTTCCTACTTCTAGCCCCTTCTAAAAGGCTAGGGCTAGAATATATTTCCTTAGTATCTCAGCCCTTCAGTGAGAGAAATAAGAGTGGTTTGGATCTATGCAGATGAGGTTTACTTAGCCAAAAAGATAGGTTTATTAACCAACACCAAATGGCACTCAAGGAAATAAAGAGAACAACACTGCTTTAACTTTACGCACTTGCCCTACCTGATGCAACAGGTTGGTCCGCTACATTTTACTTAGGTACAGAAGTTCCATAACAGAAAGCCACAAATTTGAATCTGAAATCAAAATAGCATCTTTCTGCCATCCTGACATAAAAGCCAGGGTGGAAAGTAGATGAAATGGAATACGTTCATAGGAACTCTGGCTGTGAGGGGGGTGTGGGAGTGAGGGCATCGCATCATTTAGAAATGGTTCCCTGGGGTAGGACGTACGAGCAGGGCAAGGTGAGCTCATCCTGGTCCATGGACAGTCAGTGTCAGGACTGAAAGAACAAAACAGCAATCCACAATCTCGACCCTTAGCCATGGAGGCAGGTTGGCACAACCGTACCTAAATCTGGGAAACAACACAGCTCTTCTTTTTTCCACATGCCATTTTCTTAACGACCCGTATCTACCTGTGAGAAGAAGCAACCAAGTGCGAAGAAAACACACCTTCTGGACTACGCTCAGGTGCCTTCAAATTGTTTTTAGGTGAGCGCATGCATGTGGATTTTGTACTGAATTTTTAAGCTCTGATCTTCATGCACCACCCAGGGAGCTTTGGTAGAGAAATGTGATAAATGGAACGTAATGAATTCAACTGTGCAGGGATGTTCACTGTTAAGAAAAGAACCCAGGGCCTGCCTTCTCCATTTGCTTCTTTGGTGCCATTTCCCCTCCTGCTTGCCACATCTTCTTCGGGCTTTAGCTGCAAGAGTGATCCCAGCTTATTGAAGCAGCGGCTCCGGAAAGCAAAGCGCTGGGACCAACCTGGTCATTTGTGCCCAGGCCGGAGGCACAGCCAAACCCCACCAGGGCCTGCTGAGCAGACGCTCTCCACCCAGGGACCCTGGAGTAGGACATCGAGAACGCTCTAGGAAGCTTTAGATCTTTTGCAGTATGAGTCTTGTTTTTAACCTCCTGAGAATATTTCATCCTGAGGTGATGTGCAGGTATCATGAATGAATGAATGGTCACAACTACTTAGCTCACCCTCAGTTCAGTTGATGACCTGCAGATGTTTTAGACTACAGATCCCAGCATTCCTGATTGCTGACCATCCTGGTTAGTGCTGATGGAAACAACTCCATAGCATCTGGAGGGCACCAGGTTAAATCCCCTTCAGTCTGGTTTCAGGCTCGGTTGTGGAACAGAAACAGCCTTGGTTACACTGGGGAATGGCTTGTGCTCCCGGACACGTCCATGCTGTTGACCATGGTATTAACCATGCCATGTTCTGGAACACGTACCTGGGTTGGGCATAGGAAGTGTGCCCAGTGCTTCTGCATCTAGCTCGCACCATTTCTGATTTTAAAAGACTGTTTATGGGCAGGTTTCTTCTGTTACGGATGACAGAGAAGATTCACCTTCTCCTTCGAGTCGTAAGCTGTTCCGTGAGAAGCTGACTGATGACGCGATTCAAGTAAGTAGGTGGCTGTTCTCTAAGGCAAGGGACCCTCTGTGCTTGCTTATATTTCCCAGGCACAAGGGATATGTAAGGAAAATGAGGTCTGGAAAGCTGGAGCATGCATATGACTCTGGAAGCAGAGTGAAACAATCTGCCTCAGATGTTGGTAGCACAGGCTTGTACAGAGAATCTAGTGGAATCAGAGCCTGCAAACTTTTAGACCAGGTATACTTTGCTTCGGGGCTGGAATTACCCGTGCTGTCTATTGCTTCACACCTATTCCTTCTCCCTCTGAATGGGCAAATAAGGCACTAGTGCTTTTTCCTCCAACGAAAATTGCCCCCTGAAAAATC